TGCCCGACCAACCATTGCCTTCTATTTCCGATTATTATTTATTAATTAAATCAAACGTTTTAGTGACGGGCCAGGTGTTCATTTCACGGTCAGCGCCCGGGAGGTTGTCGGCGTCGGGAGCGGAGCGGGGAAAATGATGATGAAATGTGGCGCAATTATGACGGCACCGTGAGGCACTGTCCCTGCTTCGGAGATTGAAGAGCACCCTGGGACTTTTAAGGGGCTTTTAGGGTTTATTAAAGGCTTCCAATGCAATTTCAGGGCGGCGAAACAAAAAATTTTCAGGATGAGGAAATCTGTCTGATTATAACTGACATTTTCTGACATTTCTCAGCACATTTTTGTCATCATTTCATACTTGAAGACTATTAGTGTTTGGCATAGCCCAAAACAAGCTATGTGTATGTGAGGTGTCCGTTTACTTTTTTGGTACCACCCATAAATAGCTATAACCAGCCTACTAAGTAATACAAACCAGACCACACATTTTTGCCTCACAGTTATCAGTATGCTACATTTTGGGATAGAGTTGATTCAACTTTTGTTACAGTGTACAATAAAAGAATGACCAGAAAATTAACTTCGAAAATCCAGTTTGCCGCCCTAAAATTGCACAAAGGTTTAGACCCATTTGGGAACTCATCTCATAGATGTTTTTCGTTAACCTGTCAAATACACAAAGGAGATTTCAAGTCTTCACCAGATATCAAAAAGGTGAAATGCTGTAAAAGATAAAGCATTCTGACTGAGTGTCAAAAGAATTAGTAGACTTCACAAAAAGTCATGTATCTGTGTCACTGTCTTTGAAGTTTCATTGCATGCAATATAATATAAAGTTTCATTGCTTGCAGTTCTTGATTATTAGTCAAACTTTTACAGAAAACAGATCTCACGTCAAAAACTAAGGAATCCCAAAGTACACGTAGATCAGTATCATCAAAGCTTTTTGAAAAGAAAAGAAGAGGACCATTAGTTTATGAATTGAGCAATCGTAAAGTTTTTACATCCTTCTGGCATTGAGATATGTGACGGATTGACATGACAATCATCATAATGGACAGGAATTTAATCGTCTGCCCTAGTATCAGTAGCATCTGTAGGATGACTGGAGAAGTTCCGGTATAAGGATGTTTACAAATGGACAGAAGTGCCTCAGGCCGCAGAGAACCGCAGACAGCCAACTGTCGCAAGTTAAAATAGATTGAGAGCTTACGTACATACAGTAAATCAGGAAATATTCACAGCGGTTTTATTTTTGTAGAAGCAGGGGTGCCAGAGTATACAGTGCAATTTTATGGAAAACAGTGCAAGTTTACGGAATACAGTGCAATCATAATTATAGTATACAGTGCAATTCTACTAGTAAAATTGCACTGTATACTAATACTAATACGATTGCACTGTATTCCGTAAAATTGTACTGTTTACTAATGCCATAATTGTACTGTATTCCGTAAAATTGCACTGTATACTAGTAAAATTGCACTGCATTCCTTAAATCTTAAAATTGCACACTAGTAAATTCCTTAAAATTGCACTGTATTCCGTAAAATTGCACACTAGTAAAATTACACTGCATTCCTTAAAATTGCACTGTATTCCGTAAAATTGCACTGTATACTCCTGTATACTCCTCAGGCACCCCTGAGAAAGCTCCCTGTGAACTCAGCACTCACTGTCGCAAGTTAAAATTATAGATTGAAGTGTGATTGTTGAGATAGAAATCTTGGCAACAGGCAGAACTAAGTTTTAATACTGTAAATGAGGAAATATTTGTGATGGTTTTATTCTTGTGTAGAGCTCTCACAGTGAACTCATCATGCAGAGAGCTGCCAATATCCAACTGTTGCAAGTTAAAGTATAGATTGAGATGTGATCGTTGAGATGGAAATCTAATGGCAACAGGCAGAACTAACTTGTCATACTTTACAAGGTAAATGAGGAAATATTCGTGATGGTTTTATTTTTCTGGAGAGCACTTGCCACGAGCAAACATAACTGCATGACTGCAGTTGTTACCTGGACCATGAAAAATTTAGGTATTGTTTTTTGGTGTGTGTACAGTATGTGTGTGTCTGTGTTTCCACATGGCCCTTAGGTCACTATGTATATAGTTGAGTTATAATATTAAGTCTGTCCCAGAGTCTGTTCCAGAGTGAGAAAGTCATTAATCACTAAGACTTGTACATCTGGTACACATGTAGCACTCACTTTTTTACAGGTGTTTTTCATTACATGATCGACCTCATTGACAGCAGGTGTTTTTCCCTTTCACAATAAAAAAAGGGGATTGCAACAGGAGATTGCAAATGGGTTACATGTACGTTATATCAGTACTGTAGTTGTCTAGACCAATGGAACCCTTTTTTGTTATAATGAGAGATAACAACTATAATACAAGTATCTAATATACAGAATGAAACATAATATTAATACTTCTCTAAGCCATTATATCCGTATTCATAGTTGTGGACCCCAGCAAGCCTCTCCTTTCCATTGTCACCGCCACGTAAATTGAAAACCGCTGCGTCACGTGAGGTCGTGTCTTTACACACACCATTAATTGCAATCTGGACTGTTTAGGGCCAGCCTTTTCAGGTGTGAAGATTATTGCCACCTCCCGACTCCAAATTGGACTCCTCGGAAATGAGAACAAATCCCCCTCAGGCACGAGCCTCACAGGCTGCCTGGTTTGCAAAATTAATGAAACCGCCGCCGCGAATGCTCATGAGCCGTAAATTTGCATGAAAACGACTGTGAATATGAGTTCATGATTAGCAGAAAATGCAATAATAGCATGTGCACCGTATGTCGGCAGATCCAAGTTAATGTTGTGGTCCTGAAGGTCTTGTTGTCCTTTATAAGTTTTGTTATATATATATAATTTTCGGGGGAAACAACTTAAAAAGCACCTGGAGTCAGTTTTCCACTTAAGGATACTGGTACATGTAATCCTTTGATTTTACAATGTATTACAGTTGCAGAGGGAATAAAATTGGCTCATCATAAGTTCTAAACTTGACCTAATATAACTTGAAGATTACACCTTTTCTGTATTATTTATGTCAGCTTTGATAACATAATATATTTTATGATTTGTGGTGGATTGAGTTAAGGCCTGACAGCTGGTGCATAATTATGAAGGNTATAGATTGAGATGTGATCGTTGAGATGGAAATCTTGGCAACAGGCAGAACTAACTTGTCATACTTTACAAGGTAAATGAGGAAATATTCGTAATGGTTTTATTTTTCTGGAGAGCTCTTGCCACGAGCAAACATAACTGCATGACTGCAGTTGTTACCCCGACCATGAAAAATTTAGGTATTGTTTTTTGGTGTGTGTACAGTATGTGTGTGTCTGTGTTTCCACATGGCCCTTAGGCCACACCAATTTAATTTCTTGGTTAACGGATTTTTCAAGAAAAATAATGGAGCGGGCGGGCGAAAAAAAAAAAAAATAAAACAGGCCTAGGCATCCTATTATGGCCCAAAATGGTACAATAGGAGCCATGAAGTCAACACACCAGGCTGGTTCAAAATTTAAAATATGAATTTTGAACTTTTAATGATACCATTCCATTTAAAGGTGGAATAACTGTAACAACTAGGATGAAAATGACTGTTTTCAACTGTTCAGGGCAAAATATGAGCATTTTGCATTTGATTCTGAATTTTTATTTTTATTTGCAAATCAGAAAAAAAACGAAGCGGGCGAATCCGTTAACCAAGAAATTGAATTGGTGTGGCCTTAGGTCACTATGTATATATATGTATATATATAGTTGAGTTATAATATTCTCTGTCCCAGAGTCTGTCCCAGAGTGAGAAAGTTATTAATTACTTGTACATCTGGTACACATGTAGCACTCACTTTTTTACCTGTCAGGTGTTTTTCATTACATGACCTCATTGACAGCAGGCCAGGTGTTTTTCCCTTTCACAATAAAAAAAGGGGATTGCAACAGGAGATTGCAAATGGGTTACATGTACGTTGTATCAGTACTGTAGTTGTCTAGACCAATGGAACCCTTTTTTCTTATAATGAGAGATAACAACTATAGTACAAGTATGTAATAATGTACAGAATGAAACATAATATTAATACTTCTCTAAGCCATTATATCCGTATTCATAGTTGTGGACCCCAGCAAGCCTCTCCTTTCCATTGTCACCGCCACGTAAATTGAAAACTGCTGCGTCACGTGAGGTCGTGTCTTTACACACACCATTAATTGCAATCTGGACTGTTTAGGGCCAGCCTTTTCAGGTGTGAAGATTATTGCCACCTCCCGACTCCAAATTGGACTCCTCGGAAATGAGAACAAATCCCCCTCAGGCACGAGCCTCACAGGCTGCCTGGTTTGCAAAATTAATGAAACCGCCGCCGCGAATGCTCATGAGCCGTAAATTTGCATGAAAACGACTGTGAATATGAGTTCATGATTAGCAGAAAATGCAATAATAGCATGTGCACCGTATGTCGGCAGCTCCAAGTTAATGTTGTGGTCCTGAAGGTCTTGTTGTCCTTTATAAGTTTTGTTATATATATAATTTTCGGGGGGAAACATCTTAAAAAGCACCTGGAGTCAGTTTTCCACTTAAAAATTGCAATGGATGCCTTTAAAATAAGGATACTGGTACATGTAATCCTTTGATTTTACAATATATTACAGTTGCAGAGGGAATAAAATTGGCTCATCATAAGTTCTAAACTTGACCTAATATAACTTGAAGATTACACCTTTTCTGTATTATTTATGTCAGCTTTGATAACATAATATATTTTATGATTTGTGGTGGATTGAGTTAAGGCCTGACAGCTGGTGCATAATTATGAAGGATTTCTTCTGTCTAGAAAAATTATTAGTATCTTACTCTTAAGTTTCTTTATTGATGTATGAACTTGAAAAAAAAGTAACAAGGGTTAATTCTCACATTGCCATCTTAGCCCTCATCTGTTTAAGTCGTAAATAACTGTCATGTTCTGTTGTGTTACAGAGGAGTGGACATAAACACACTGAGACATGAGGCAGAGTACTACGGAATCACTCCCATTGGTGAGTACAGTCTTTTTAAACTGAATTTTAACATAATAAAATTTTCTGCTAGAATTTGAACCTGACTAAGTAATGCATGACAATCATTGTTTAAAAAACACTTTTTGCCAATGTGAGTGCATAATTCAAACACGTTTCATGTGCCACTTTGGATTTGGACATTGAAATTGATTGTTCTATCATGAAAGTTCATCTGTGTTGGTAGTTACATGTTTAAAGTTAAAACTTTTGGTCCAACACAAAAAATTCTCTCACCTACAAATGTAGAGCTTTCGACCAGTCACTCTTGTCTTCCTCAGTAGACTGATCCAGTGAAGCTTGATTGTTGTTAACCACAGTTCTTTGTTTCTAAAGGGAAATCAAATTTTCTCAACTTCTCTGTGTTTTCTAGGCTGGGTATAACGGAAACATTTTTTTGTAAATTTATATATGGTAACACTGTGACAGGGTACTGTAAGTCTACAAATTTCCGCGGTATATTTAGATTCGCGGTATTCGCGGGGACCTTTGTACCGCGAATCTATTTCCCCGCGAATATGTTTTGTGTAATACGTAAGTGCGCCCCCCTCCCCACATGCATTCACGACGGTAAGCGAAACACAAACACACGCGATTCACAAATCACTGCAAATCAACTTTATTCTTAGCAAATGTTGAGTACCAATTTTTTTTAAAAGTTGTACTGATGTCAAAACATTATAATATTATGAGACACCGAATCGCGATACTGCGGCACTGGCCGTGTCAACCGTGTACCGCCGAAAAAAATCTATGCGTGCAGAGCGCCGGCCATGCGCGCCCGGGCTCTTGAAAATTGCGGGAACATCGGGCATATCTACAAGTATTTTTATGAAAAATATAACGGCTGGTACCTGGGAAATGTTAGTTGGTTATCTTTTGCGCCCTGCTTTGCGGGCGTTTTTTTCTTCTTCTTGCTTTGCTGGATACTCGGAAACGCTCACCGTGGGCCTACAAAACCGAAGGCGACCTTTGCATACTTCTGGGTTCAAAATCTCGCCGAAGACGGCATAAATTTGCTTAGTAATATATATATATTCTTTCGATTATGCATTTCTTCACTAGAGTATCGATGTGTAGTCGTGGAAAATAGCATTTTAGCGCTTATTTCCGAACAAAGAAAATTGTTTACACGTGCGTCAGATCGATCGTCAGCTACCGCCGGCAGTCTCGCGCGGTGCACGAAACAAATTTTTGCGCCGCGTTTTAGGAGATAAATGCCGGAACACGAACTATTATTATTTGAGATATACACTTTACAAATTTTTTCTTTGAAAAATAGCCATGGAGAAATCGCGAATCTAAAAATACCGCAGATTGTCTATTTTCCCGAAACCGCGAACTTTAGGCCCCGCGAATATAAAGAGACTTACAGTATTCAGCATCACCCTTGGTCCCAGCCCACCTATGGGGCTGTTACTAATGTACCTTTGGTGACACGGAATGCAACGTAAACCGTGTTGTATATTCTATATTACGTACCCTATGCATCAGCCATTTTCACCTGACATGTCCATATGACCTTTATCAGGTGGTACATTTTGTAATGCCTATGATAGGTCGGTAATATCCCCCCTATCCAGGCTGTTACAGGCTATGCCGCTCACGTTTATGGATTAGTTCCACTTCCGCAGAAGCCATCACGCTCATATCAATCTCATAAACCAGGTATTCAAATGCCTTTTGATTGGGTGTCAACAAAAATTTTGCCGCACGCGCCGAAAGTCGTGCCCTGCGGTCGCTTCCAATCAGCAGCGCAAACATCTCCCATGCTCGGGAAATAATGGAAAAGGCGTCCGTGTACTTGTCTGGGCGCGCAGCTTGCGATATTTGTAATTACTGTAATTTTTTTCTCTCACCTCGCACAAAGTAATCTCCGACTGCCAGCCAGTATCTCATGATTGCGTTTGGCAGGAAGGCGGCTTAACGGCACAACTGGGACGGTATTTCTATCTCCGAGTTCTGCCCGGATATTGGAAATTAATATTCAAGGACATCAATATTTTCCTTGGCTGGTTGGCGCATTAGTCGGCGTAGCGTGCACTGATTACGTCTGATGGAGATATAATACATGTAACACTGGTCGCATCAATTTTGGAAAGTCACAAGGCATTTGGAAACTCAAGTAAAAATTGATTTTCAACATTCAAGTTTCACATCAGTGTGTAGCTCTTGGTGTAATGAGCACAGTGATATGAAAATTATTGTTCTGCAGTGTTCATAACTTAAGATATCATTAATAATAAATACAAGCAGACCGGTGGTCTTTCCTAACAGCCCGTCAGGCTTAAACAACTAGCCCGCAAGTTTTAATTACAGGACCTTCGGTCTAAAGGCACTAGACTACAGGTGTAGAATCCCAGCCCGCGGGCTGATTTACTCAAAAACCATTCAGACCGTCAGCCTAACTTCAGCCCGCGGTCTGGAATTTCTGGTCAAAGAGGTGCAAAAAGCCCAAAACAATGGCATGGAAGGCGTGAATTGATTGATGTTTGCAGACTGTCTGTGCCAATTTCAGCCTGGTGGGGTAAGGATTCAGACCTCACGGACTACATCTCAGCCCGCGGTCTGATCCAAGTGATGTATAAAACTTCATTCTCAGAGCAGAAAATAAAGAAGAAGAGCATAATCCACACCCATCTGTTAACAGTGTTGTACATTTTTGCCGCTTTCAACCTCATTCACTCACTCAATCACTCAGCTTCGCATGCTCTTTCCACTACATCATGTAGACCACAAAAAAGAAAGAAGAGCTTACAAACACGTTCTGTACCAGCTAGGGGTAGAAAATGAAACAATTTTTTCTCATGAGCATCCTGAATGTCATTGAAGTTCAGTTCAGTTCAGTTGAAACATTGGGAAAATTATGTTACAGACAGTTTTGCCAGACAAAATTCTAGTACTATATAATATGAGCAAGAAGCCTAATACATGCATTGCAACTTAAACCTGCTTTCAAGCAATGGAGTTATAAAATCCTCAGTCCATTTCTGTTCAACCATGGTTCAACAGTTCTCAGGTAATTATTCTGATCAAGGAACAATTGTTATGCGGGATGAAACTAAGTTTAGCTATTGTTCTTGACATGCAAATGCCACTGCCCAATTATCAAGTTGGACTATTGTTGAGTTACACGTCGAATTACAGTACCCCTATCTGGGCAGCTTGACTACTGGGTCACCCAGTAGGAGCCTGAAAAGATGACCGACTATCTCAAAAAATAAAACTAGGATTCTTATCATTAATTTCTTGTTCATAATCTAAATCTAATCTAATCATAATACTACAAACTAGTTGAGGGATAGAAAGATTTGGCCAAGACATGGTTCTCAACGTGTGAACCCAGGCCATCTGACACTGTCATTATATACAATGTCATAAGGTTTTCTGATATTTTTTCGGGCTATTGAGCTACCCAGTGCAAGCTGCAAAGACCATGTCACCCATGTCTGGGTACTAGTAGCCCGACCAGACTCTCTAATTTGATAATTGGACAGGTATGAATGATAACATGCATGGAAATTAATCTTGAAAATTTTCTTCCTGCAGGAAATTTCTGCAGGAAAAACCTACTAAGACATTGTAGATTCCTGCAGATAGAATCCTTCCTAGAAATTTCGGCAGGAATGACTGTATAATAAATATATACAACTGCTAGGCCACACCAATATACATGTAATGTAGTCTCCACCAGACTCCTTTGCAGGCTAAATAAATAGTAGCAATCGGCTAAGGCATGGAGGTAGCTCCATGGCTAAGGGGAACATCATTGGCCAGAGGAGTTGGCCGGCCATAGAGACTAAATATTATGTCATTACTTGTTTCTCAGACTCATTCACTTGAAGAAGAATCCTGTTCTATAAAATTACAACATTACATCAATATTCTCTCAAGGTCACCTTAGTAATTGATCAATGATCATCTGATTTTTTGTATGTCATGACAATTCATGCAGTCTGATAACTCAATGAATGCTTTTGCTTCGGAAGCAAAAGCATCCCCTTTCTTCAGTTGTAAACACGTCTAACATTGATCAGATTCTGACTGGAGACTAACTTCAAGTTGTTGCTTGGAAGTTAGAACTTGTTAATTTTATCATAATCACCTCCCCTCCCCTTTTGTCACCCATTTTTAAAGAAACTGTGTTCTTTGTGTCTAGGGGATAACAAGCCTTTACAATGTAATTCATAGGCTTATTGAGGGATGTCTATTATCACTCTATGGTGACATTTCCTTGGGCAAATGTTGGCCCTCCAGGAGCCAAGGAGCTAGCCTGGCAGCAGTCTGGTACCCATGTAACAGTGGGGGGGTTATAGGGCGCTACAGCTCGCCCCTGTTTCTTACACCCAGGCTACCTGGTCTGCTATCATACATGTACATCCTGCACTGTACAAGCATTTTACGTTCTGTTCCTAAATTTTTGGGAAATATCCAAACTGAATGAACAGCTCTTTTCATTATATATATAACCTATTTGAGATGTTTCACAAATATTGTAACAATTAGAAAATTTTCTACTTTTTTTAAATCATACTTTGAAATTATCTAGAAACATTGTGTTTTTTTTCGAAATGGTTACAATTTGTAATGTGGAATATAGCAATATAGAATTGACTCTAGGCCTTGGGCAAGCACTTCCAATTAAATTGTAATTTAGACTTATTACAAATCCTGTAAAGATTCTCATCATTAATTTTTTGTTCATAATCTAAATCTAATCTAATCATGACACTACAAACTAGTTGTGGGATAGAAAGATTTGGCCAAGACATGGTTCTCACAGTGTGAACCCAGGCCATCTGACACTGTCATTACAATGTCATGAGATTTTCTGATAGGATATTTTTTCGGGCTATTGAGCCAGTGCCAGTGCACCCATGTCAGGGTAGCCCGACCAGACTCTCTAATTTAATAATTGGACAGTGGTCATTTGCATGCCTGGAACAATAGGTGACCTGAGGTATGACCCGCATGACAAAGGTGCAGGAACAGAATAATTACAAAAGAAAATGTAACATGAATTTCCTAAAGCATTGTACAACTCCTTGCACTGAAAGCAAGTTCATGTTGCAAATTGAGGATCGATTCCTTGCTTTTTATGTTTTCAGTGTACATCGGCTGAGGCTTATACATGGCAGGATTATGGCACTAAAACTCCAAATGTTTTCCTTTTGATTTAAATGTTTCCATGGAGTTATTGTTTATCTGTTAACCATGTCCATTCATCTTGTTTTGTTGTGACCTGTACTTAGCCAAGTCTTCATTCTTTAAAAAAAGGTAAATTTCTACCCCCATGATGTTTCAAAGGGATTTGGCCAGGGGAGTTGCCCATCCATAGTAGGACAGATTGGACTATACCTGCCAAACAGAAACTGTAAGTGACCATGAAGTGTCCTCAAAAGTTGGCTTCCAACACCACAACCAATCAGGTCTAATATGAAGTGTTCTTGCTGAGACAAGGGTCTTTTATGATGCTATCTGATCTTTTTTAGTCATAACCGTTACACAAATGTTACACCCCGCCCAGGTATCAGCCCAGGTAGCACAGCAGGAGCAAAATCCACCTCCTCAAACATGTTCAAAAAGCTTTCTACTAGAAAGAGACTTTTTGCAGTAGCAGAACAATTCTTCCCATGTACAGGAAAAATTCTTCCAGTAGAAATTTCTGAAGCTTTTGCAGAAAATGTTCAAAATGAATATTCATGAAAGTTATCATCATTCATACCTGTACATCATACTTGTCAATAATATGTAATCACTTATTGAAAATATTAGCTGAAAATGTGAAGGGTGTTTATTAATATGAAGTGATATGAAGTGAAGTGTAAACCATCATCAATCTGGAAGCATCAATTTGGAAGCATATTTTTGTTTCCCACTTTCTGTTTGGTGTTTAAAGTCTGAAGGTTCTCTATCATAAGGCCTAATCATCAGCCCAGCCTGTCCACAGACCGACAGGCCTGTTCAGGCCCGCGGGCTAACCATTGAGCCCAGACCTCTCATGAATTTATCACAAACTTGTTAATTACACAGGTGTGAAAATGTGAATTTCATTAATTCAGTGGTTTTCATGGGGTGTTCATGAGGCTAATTGGATGCGGTCTGGATGCGGGCTGGCTAACTCAGGCCGCGGGCTAAAGTTTAGGACTGCCTGGCTAAGCTGCTGGGCATGACGGTGTGTGTTCTAGACCGCCAGGCTTGCAATTTTTAAAGTCAAATATCTTGATAAATTTGTACATTCTGACCATAAAAAAAGCAACCTGGTACTGAAGATAGCATGATCTTTCCAATGGCATGCAAAAGTTCACTGTACATCCAGGAATAACAAAGTTGAAAATCAGGGGTTTCAACATAGCTGTCTCAAAATTCGGAAAGTGACATTCCAAAATTGAGGTGACCAGTGTTATGTCATTACGGGGAAATAGAAAGTTAGATGGAGCCTCCTTATCACATTAGTGAATTTATGTTCCAGAGCTTTCCCCTTCCAGTCTCTAGCACCTGTTGTGTCCCAGGGGAGGTTCTGTGAAACCATGGCCCACTTTACACATCAAACTTCTGTCAGTGAAAATATTGAGACTTGCGATATCGAGACGGTGACAGCTTTTCCCAAAATGTAAAGAGGAATTGTATTTACCCCGTGTTATGACTGTATTGACCCGTTGTTATGGTTCTGTGAAACCATGGCCCACTTTACGCATCAAACTTCTGTCAGTGATATTGAGACTAGCGATGTTGGGACAGTGACAGCTTTTTCCAAATAAATGTGAAGAGGAATTTTATGACTGTATGAAGGCTTTTACTCGTTATTATAAAAATCTATGAACGACAGCTGTATTATGATTATGATACCTCAGCAGGAGTCCTACATCCTATATAATGAGAAATTACATAACTCAACCAAAATCTGCTATTAGTCACAATGTGCAAAGATAGTAAGACATCAAAATCGTCTACAGCACTAAGGACTAGCTGATATCAAATTTGGTCAAAAATTCTGGCAAGTCAATTTTTTTAGAACTTGCACAACAGTGTTCATGTGCCAAAAAGCTACTTGTAAAATGTTGACAGCACAAAGATTGCATCATCTACATCAGTGTATAAAATACTTTTTTAACCAGGACTGGTTGCCCAGTGGGCAACCTTATGATGGCAAAGATTTGATTGCCCATCAGAATTTTAGGTTGCCCCACCTATAAGTTACTACTTTCCTCAAATTAAGTAATGTTACATAGATACATTGTAAGCCTTTGACAATATTACTAACAGCCTTTAGTTAACTGATACTAGTAATAGCCATTAATACCTAAAATTAAAAAGCATCTGCCGGATACAGTGGTGCAAGCCAAGTGGGCTTGATGTTTGGGGGGGGGGGGGGAGAGCATTCTTAAAATTCAGGTAGCGGTTCAAAAGTAGGTATTTTGCACGCTGTACATGTAGAATACTTTCAATTTCACTGCTCAAATCCAACATGATTGAATTCTACCCTTTGGATAGTGCAGAAACAATGAATTGAAGTGATGCGGCTGAAACGAGAGGTTACTTGTAAATGGGACAGTCCCATACGGAGCAATCAGGCGCAGTGATTGCGCCCAGACAGGCTGGCAGAGGTTGGCACGTGGGCACGGAACACGGCCTGATACCGCAACAGAGATGTCATTAGTTAAAGTCAGGTCAACTGACAGACATGCTTAGCAAGATGATCATTCTGTATATGTACAGGGTGTCCAGAAAATGCAAAAAAAGAACTGAAATAGTCTGAAACAAGCAATCTGTATGAAATTGACACATACTGCCCCACAAGTTGCATCTGATTCAGTATTATTTTCTTTCCTGTTTCAAATTTTGGTCATTTAAAACAGCACAGTCAGAAACAAGCTCCAAGTTGAGTACTTTATTTTCTTGCTGGTACCCCAAAGATCAGGCTAGGGCCCTAGCAAATTGTACAGTTTTACGTCATAATTTTTGGCATTTTTGTACCATGAATGGATGTAAAATGTACATTGGGACAGTGTTGTTTCAACTTTGTGTACTATGTCAATCAAGGACATTGTCCTTGATACAATGTAGAATATTGACTTTTGGTTCTCATTGACAAGTCCTAAAAACTGCATTGGGCACCTGTAAAATCCAATCCTAAAAAGTATGATACATGTACATGTAAATAGATAATTTATCATTACATGTATGTTCCAGTAAAAAGACTGGACCTGTGTGAAGACTTGGAGAGGTCATCATGTGGAGATGTCCTGTTCCACGGCTACCTGCCCGCACCAGGTGAGTTTATCACACCTTTCATAATCATACAGGTGTAGCAGACCAGTATACAACACCCCTTCGGAATAAACCCCCAGTCTACATTCAGGCCAGGGGTACCTTTCAGCCTGCTACACCAATCCTGAGTCTATTGTTCATGTAGATACATGTACATTGAGCAAAATGATGTTTTCCGCCCATTGTGACTTACAATGTACATTTTGTATGTAGTACTACATTGTAGTTCTACAAGTAAGAAGACACGATTTGATTCTGCAAAACTTTTGTTTACCCTGCATGTTTTCTTGTTCTGTCGTATTTTTTCAATTGGAACTATCAATCACTTTTATATACGCAGTAGTAAAATTTTGCAGAACTATATATTCGCAATGGTAGCAGGTGCCGAAGAATGAAAGTCAGTGAATTATTTTTTCACGGTAATGATAAATTTGCGGTACAGAAGTGACCGTAAAAACTGTGAATATAAAAGTACCGCGAATATAGTGATTTGATTATAAATGTCTCTTTTACTTGTTGTCTGCACAGTCCTTCATGTCAGACTCTTTTATTTTGTGTCTCCTTTTTTGTTATTAATCTAAAAAGATGTCCTCTACTTGTGTCTCTGTGTTCTGGTCCCTCTGTCTATCCTGTCCCACCCAAGTGGCTATCTTCCCTGAACACCCCTACTCCATGGACCCCCTAGAAGACCCCTATGACCTCTCATACAGTAATACCCCCGTTGGCCCACCCTGTTGTGTCAGCCATGCAGGTAGAGACAGAACTATCATTGCTTTTCTGTGCTACCCTAACTTTCCAACTGTAAGGCCACATCAATTTGATTTGTTGGTTCTCAGATTCACCTCTTCATTTTTTTTCTGATTTGCAAAAAAAAAAATTCTGGCTCTGAATCTGCTCATATTTTGCCCCCAACAATTGAGGAAAGTCTACTTGTTACAGTCTTTCCGTCTATCAATGCAGTGGTTTGATCAAAAGTTCAAAATTCATTGTTTGAATATTAACCCAGCCTTTTGTGTTGACTTCGTGGCTCCTATCGAAGCATTTGGGGCTGTAATAGGATGGCCAGACCTGTTTTTATCAAATTTTTTTCGCCCTGTTGCTTCAAATTTTTTCTGAAAAAATCCGAGAACCAACAAATTGAATTGGTGTGGCCTACATTTGTAAGAAGGAAATCCAGGAAATATCGTCATTTACTATATACCCTGCCATTAAAGCTCATCAGATGATTGTGAACAAACTTGCAATCTTCACAGCATGTTCTATGTAGTCCAGCAGCTGCTGTTGATATTAATATAATTATCAAGATTGATGCAGCTGTAGTTGTACTATCAGTGAGCAGTCATCATGTGGTGTTCCTGATTTCATACTAATCATAATTTATTAGCATATTATTTTGATAAACATCCCCTTCCCAAATACATGTACATGTATGCACTTAACCCCTTGTACTTTTTGCACACAGGTAAGAAAATTATTTAGAAAGGCAAGACTTGTTATTTGTCAGAAATGCAACTTAAGTCCACAACAACTCAATTTCTTGATTTTTGGATTTGCCCACTTCATTTTGTTCTGATTTGCAAAAAAAATCTGAAAAAATCTGAAAGCCAACAAATAAAATTTGATACCACCTTAGGTGGTTTTAAAACATTGTATTTTCTTTCCTCAGGCATTCCGCCGCGTCCTGTTGGCGTTGCCTTGGAAACGGAGTGTCGGATGAGACCGGGCGCGTCCACGGGCAGTCCGCTGTCACAGTACCAGTCCTCGGCGGCCACGCCCCTGAGTCGGTCGCGCTACGCCTCCGCGGCGGACGGGGCCGAGGGTGGGGAGACCGCCATGTTTGGTACGTCAACTCAGGGATATGGCAAAAGTTTCCCTAAGGCTATGCTGATCACCTTGGTTACATTATGTAGCAAGTGGCAGGACAGAAGGGGCCTGGTCACTATGGATGAGATCCCCTGGGTACCCCAAAATCTGATGCAAGCACGCCAGAAAAAGAGTTGCCTTCAGTTCATTATGAAGTCTAAGGAAGGTTAAGAACAAAATGATGATTGAACAATTGGAGTGTAGTATAACTAACAATAAATTCTTTAGTAAAAATGATACATGTAGCAGCATCACAACAACAATACATATATGTAAATGAAATAGTTTATGAAGCAGACATTTTACAAATTATGATTAACAGTTACACTCTAATTTCCTGTTACTACATGACGATTGTGTTCATTGTGCCAGATACATACATATGTTTTTAAGCTCTGATTTATTGTTTTTCCTCAATCCTACAACATATTAAATTAAATGCTTTTTTGTTTTTCATATTTTCAGAGGTCCCCCTTGATCCCAAGAAGGTTCGAATCATCGTTGGGCATCACAGCTGGATTGCTGTTGCCTACGCCCACTTTGTGTGCTGTTACAGGTTAGTCTGTTTGTACAGCAATATGCTGTGCTATGCTGTGCTGTTCCTGGACAGTAAAATGAATGCCATTGGATTTTACCTTTTTGTCATACTGTATGTCAGAGTCTTTATACAATAAGCCAGTTCACAGTTTAAACTATGCAGTGCCATGTAAAGCATTGTCAGTAACATTTAAAAGATGAACGTGGCTGAGACATTTTGTATCGAAATATGTCTCAACTAGTCTTTTACAGACTGTACATGTACATGTACAAATGTACAATCATGTATCCTGACGTGTATTAGACAATGATCTGGATAATTATGACATCAATAAAATGTACATTGTACGGTGACTGTTGGAAACCTGTAATGTATTGTACATAGCACTTCAGCAGAACGTCTTTTTTTAAGGTCGTTTTCACAGTTGTCATTTATTGATGACATCCTATCCCTTGTAACTTTTCAAATTGTGTTGGAAAAGATACCGTCGCAACGGGCAAAATTTTGATGCAAAATTGACCATACATCTGATGAAAACCGTGAAATATCTGAGTGTTAATCCTGCATCACAATATGTTCTGCCAGTGTGCTGGTCTACACATTCAAAGAACTGTTTACACCTTTGATCTCATAAAGTCGTTGGAACATGCACAATTCAACCTGTGAACTGACTTAGAAAGGGTATCATAAAAATTCATATTCATCTTAGAACAGCTCGAATCTCTCTTGACACTGATTTATGTCCTGTAAGTGAAACATTACTGAAATATCGGATGTTTACTCTTGGGTACATTCAAGTGACAAAGCAGGCAATTAATACTCTACAACTTCTAATTATGTGTAATGTCAGTTCTAACATGCACCTCCTTGTGGGACTGCAAATAATGTACTCTTGACAGGACTACGTAGTGTAGAATGACAATAAAGGCATATAACTTGTAATTATTTTCGTAAATTGCTTATTAATATGCATGTGAATATTGGTAAACAACAATCACCCGTGACATGATTCTGTTGCTGCAATCAACATACTGATGATATTAAAGTGCTATGATATGTTATACAGTATGCAAAGTGGAACAATGAAAGCAATATTACCATGCTGATATTAATACTCATGATCTTTTAAAGTTGTTAAGAATTAAAATCTATTAATTTGATCCTCTAAAATGAAGCCACAGTCACTGTGACTGTTAAATTTCTTCAGCTCAAAGGAGAGGAGACCAGAGGAATACTTAGTACTAACGGTAACAGCATCGTCAACAAAAAACACGAACATGCTGTGTACAATCATGTGCATGACTGTATACTTCATCAACAATCTATCTAAATTAAATATATGAAATAATCTTCATGACGTCAAAGGTAATAATCCATACCATAATGTGATTACAGTTAGGTAGCAAAGTGAGCTGAGGCATACAGGTGTTGTGTGTCTGTGTATGTCAATTACATGTTTTTGAAGCCAGAAGTAAGTAGTTGTGTGATCTTATGCACTCTTTTCATGGAAAGTCCATATAGTTAATGAAAAATAACCAGTGATTACTACTACAGTATATAGCTTTGATTCTTGCTTTCTGTAGGGTTAAGGAGTCGACGGGATGGCAGCTAGTGTTTAACAGTGAGTACCTGGAACAGTCGGTGGAACGTGTGGCGCTGAACTCCAAGTGTCCGGGCGGGTACAGCGACAACAAGGACAGGATGATCGCCGTGTCATCGGGCAGCGACATCAGACTCTGGAGCTTCCAGGACGAGGGGCCCAAGAACGAGAGAGGTGAGAAATGATCATCGTAGAGGTTACAGCCATCATAATTGTTTTTTGTTTGTTTGCATATTAACCACTTTTATGTGTAACACACCAGTTTTATTTTATTTTATCACATTTGTGGAAGGATTGACATAACAAATGATGACATAACATCTTCAAGATGTCAAACCTGTGACCAGACTGTAAGGTTTGAACCACTCACACCGGGAAGGTCCCCTACTCTTTTCGATAAGTGCGGTGGGTTCTTTAACGTGCGTGGGGTGTGGCTCTCCCAAACACTGGGCCTCCATTTAACGTCCTATCCGAGGGACGTCCCTAGCTGAAGCTAGGTACTCATTTACATCTGAGTGAAGTGAGGAAAGTCGATGTGCCTTTCCCAAGGGCACAAGATCGGTGACACTGTGCAGGATTCAAACCCGGGACCACGCTACCGTTGAATTTCCCATGCATTACTCAATAAGCCTTACTTTAAGAGTGTGCCAATGTGTACTTCCCTTGTTCAAAGAAAAGCTTGTGTTGTCGTCCCCAGGTGTGTTTAACCTGTCGGTACAGGTGGACGACCTGTTCTTCATCGGCAGTCAGCTGGTGGCCATCAGTCACACCGGCAAGATCGGCGTGTGGCACGCCATGACTCACAACTGGCAGGTAATGTGGCAGAGCAGAGTTCTGTAGCATGTCGGTAGAACATACATAGTAACCTGTGTGAAACCTGTTATGTATTGTGCATGGTACTTCGGAGAACGTCTCATATAAGGTGGTATTCGCACATATAAGGTTAACATCCCATCTGTAGTTTGCAAATGTTATGTCGGAAAAGTTGTCATCTGCAACAGGCAAAATTATGATCCAACGTTGACCAAAAATCCAACGAAAATCGTGAAAAATGGGGGGTTAGCGCAGGTGCAGTACGTTCTGCCGACATGCTGAGTATGAAAATATTATTTAATTGATGTCATTGAATTTTACTTCGTTTTGACTTGTCCAACTTATAGTAAAGAGAGAGATACACTGTTACAGACTATTACTACTGCATGTAAGACAAAGTTCACCCTATCTTGTACACAAAACAATCATATTACTTTCCATGTACTTTTGTTGTGTCCAACTACCATATCTGCCTAAACAGATCAATTTCTTTATACTTCATTCCAAAAGCAAGACCATACATGTACATATAGAATACACGGGGTATTCCGTATCTCCCGAGGTATCGGCCCGAGATCCGATCCGCGGGAGGGCCGGGACCGAGGGCAATGCGGAATACACCGTGTTGTATTTTATTTATGTCATACCCACCCAAGAAAACACACCTTTCAATGCAAGATGGGCCAAAAGTTGGTGCCACTAAACCCTAAAATGCAACAACATCAATTCCAACGTCTGGATTCTGTATTCGAATTTTCGAAAGGGACACACGCGGTTAGGGCGAAATGCGTACGAATCGTTTTATGGAAGCGTTCGATAACGGGTTCCGGACCGGGCCGTACCGTAAAGAACCCGTTATCGAACATTATCGCGGCCTGGGTATGATATATTATAACTTGTATATTCAAATTTGATATCGATTAAACTATATATGTAATTTAGTTTTGTAATGTTGTCTTACCACCATACATAATACCATGTACGATTGTTGAGCAAGAAAGTTCTATATACTGTATCTATCTACCTTATTGGGCAATAAGCGCAAGAAATCAGAGATCTCAAACCTCCGTGAATTTCTTGCATGTTTTACAGATGTATTTATCATTGTGGATTTCTTGCTGTTTCGGTCCAATACATTTTACTACTGACTCCCAAAAGGCAAAAGGAAATGAGTTTTTTTTTAAACCTTTGATCTAATTTTCTTGGAAAGTTTCCATTGAAAAGAATAGTCAGCTTTTCAGCACCAAGGAGAGGATGACAAAAGTGTTGATCTAGACACTTAGACCTCGAATGTGCCTAGCATATGTGGAAAGAACTTCAGAAACTCAAGAAACAAACACGCTTAAAGGAAACCTCCACACATGGAGACACTAAATACAAGTATCATTACTAAATTGTATGGTAAAACTGATCCGTATCTTGTCTGTGATTCTGCCATATTTCTTGAAAACAAGCATGTTTGTACCTTTTTTATACAATATATGTATTAGACACGCTACGTGTTGTAGATTCAAAAATACATTAACATGATCCATTGCATGCTGCACTTAATTAAGAAATATTAATGATACTTCTATATTGCTGACTGTTAATGTTACATACTGCACATTTCCAGATTCAGGACGTGGAGCCTATCTCCTGCTATGACACAGCAGGAACTTTCCTCCTTCTGGGCTGCAACAATGGATCCATATACTACATAGGTATGTACATCTGACATAATGATTATAAGGTACAAGTTCCTTTGGATATAAACATGTATGACCAGGGCTATTATAATTCGGTATTCGACCTTTTAAAAATAGCATAGGAAACATGTTCAAATTATTGTAAGCCTGTGTGATAACCATTGAAACCACACACGACAACTCGAGTTATCGCACAAGCCAGAACACCTGTATTGAATGTTAATATCAAGGCCCAGTTACATGTATGACATAACATTCTACATGTATACAGGTGTTCTAGATCAGTTGATATTTTATGGTATTTTTACTAAGTATCTCACAAGCTTCTACCTGTATCCCACTGGCTACCATAGAATGACACAAAAGTGCTATGTGTGCATCCCTGTCAAAAATTTGAATAGTACATTGTACCAGGTTCAGATTGTTGAGGTTTTACTTGAGAACACAAAGTTTTGCTAGGGCATTTATGGAGTATTCTCCATGTCTGTTGCATTCAATACTACTAGTTAACCCACATGGGGCATCTTATACATCAATTATACAATTATAGGTACATCAAAGGAAACTTATTATAAAGGACTGTAAGATCAAGGACTCTGTGTATAATGTCCTTGGTAAGATTCTACAGTAGTCACATGAAGTTATGCATGCCCTCTGGCAGGTTAGAAAAAAACTGCAGCTGATGTACAGTCATGTTTTTACCATGTGTGTAGATATGCAGAAGTTCCCCCTGCGTATGAAGGACAATGACCTGCTGGTGACAGAACTGTACCACGACCCAAACGACGACATGATAACAGCACTCAGTGTCTACCTCACTCCAAAAATCAGTAAGTACATTTTGTATAGGACTTCCACTGAACATGTATTTTTTTACGTATTAAACTGAAAATGTAGACACTTTAATTTTTGCAATTTTCACAGTGACTTTCCATCTCAAATTCATGACATTTCACTTAGTCTAAATTGTACTACAGAATTGTTTCTACCATGAATTTACATGTGTAAAGCACAGTGGAAACCTTGGGGCTTCCCTCCTACTACAAAACCACCAAATTAAATTCATTAAGTTCATAACTCATTGTGTTGCAAAGCAGTTCCAACTTCTCAATATAGAAAAAAATGGTTGCCCAAGTTGTTATACAAAAACTTATAGCCGTAGCTGTATTCAATGTGGTATGAATTGTGTTTGACAATGAAAATTTTATAAATTGGAAATAATCTTGAATGTTGAATGTTTACCTTGAGTCGAGCATAAAATACATTGAAAGAAGTACAAAAAATGTAGTCCATGGCAAATTATTGTTTTGTAAAATTACTGTTAGTGCATCATCTTCATATGCATTTTATTTACGTATTATGCATGTACAAGTTTAGTTGGAAAATGCTGACATTGTCATCGCAAAGTGTGACGTTGCTATGTGTGACGTTGCTACATATGACATTGCTACAAATGCATTTGTGACATTCTACATGTGACATTGCTACATGTACGTGTGACATTGCTGCAGGTGTGAGTGGGAACTGGATCGAGATCGCGTATGGCACCAGCTCGGGTAAGGTGCGTGTGATCGTGCAGCACCCAGAGACGGTGGGACACGGGCCACAGCTGTTCCAGACCTTCACCGTCCACAGGAGCCCCGTCTGTAAGGTCATGCTGTCCGAGAAGTACCTGGTCTCAGGTGAATAAACTTACTTATTATTATTATAGAATGATGCATGTACTACTCACTTGTTTACAATACCTTGTATTTGAAATTTTCAATCCAATTAGCTCTTTATAATGTCTGTAGTATTTCTTAGTAATACATTTTTGGTAAACATCTATTAGGTTCATAGTTCTGGAAGGACATATTATGGACCAGTGATACCTAAACCTGTGTTCCCCAAGGAACCATACTGGCCCCAGAACACTGATGTTATCCTTTCGTGCTACTGGGTAACACATGTACAGTAACTAGTAGTACTAATTATAGTATTATTATATAACTAATGGCCCAGCAAAGTTTGATACTGTACAGTAACTGTATTACATTGTACAATGTCTGGCACACAGGTCAGTAGTGAGAATCTGTATCGATATAGCAGGTATAACCGCCCTTCGGCGTAACACACCAGCTTCCAGAATCCAATCGTTACTGGACAAAAGTTTGAGCAATGCATTATGTTGCAGTTCCATTATGATTTTAAGGTACATTGTATTATGGTGTAATTACAGTTTTTATTCCTTCATGAATCTGTCAAAATGAGCACGTCGACAGAACCTACTGCTCCTGCGTGAAACCACAGTTTCTGTTTTGTGTGTAGTCAACGTTGCATCAGAATTTAGTCCCTTACTTTAAGATATCTTTTCCAACACAATGTTTAGAATAACAGTAATTCCTTATTTTGTTCACAGTACTTTTATGTTCACTGTCGCTTTTGTACAGTGAACTTATCATTACAGTTAACAAATAATTCTTGGACTTTCTTTTTCCTGCACCTGTCACCACCGTTAACATATCATTCTGTGAACATGTCCATTTTTCTCCGACCGTGAAATTTTGTTACTGTGAGCATAAAGTGAATTACAGTACTGTAGACAGGATATCATCCTTAAAAACAGGAACATGACCTTTAAAGACAGTTTATTACATGTACAATGTACGTTCTGTAAAAGTGCTATGTACATGTACATTATTTTCTGGTACATGCTGTCAAAATGGAACTTACAAATGTATTTCCGTGATTTGTAACTGTTCTGCATGACATTGTGTATTTTCCAGTGTGTTCGGAGTACAACCACGTGCGTACGTGGAACGTGACGAGGTTCCGCGGGATGATCTCCACCCAGCCCGGCTCCACGCCACTCAACTCCTTCAAGATCATCTCCCTGGAGGACGCAGACCCTCACCACAGCTACGGGGCCGGCAACAGGATCGGTGAGTCATGTACCTACATGTACCCTGGCAAAAAGTAGCCTTTTTTTTTGTTGGTTTACAATCGACGAGAGACATGAAGTTTTTAATCTAGCAGTGGTGTGTCACAGCAAACAACATTTAATTCAATTTTCCTAGGTAAATGTTACTGGGGTGTCATATGGTGTAATGGTTAGGGTGTTTGGCCCTTAGCCAGGAAGGCCTGAGTTGAAAACCCCTAACATGCCTGTTGTGCCCTAGGGAAAGGCACTCTACATGAATTTCCTCCCTTCACTCAGGTGAAAATGAGTACAATGTATACCTACATGTAGCTTGGATAGATGGTATATGGAGGTCTCGTATTTGAGGAGATCATGTTAAAGAACCCACCACACTTTTTTGGTCCTTTCTGGTGTGAGAGGATCAACCTTTACAGTGCAACTTCTTATATCATTGTACATTTGTACGTACCATGTTCAGCCTTTTGAGATCAAGCAAGTAATAACAAAGAAGGAGAATCTCAGTGAAGAAATGACAGTCAGTCCAATTGGTAAAAAAAACCCTTACAGCCTTCAGGCCATAGGGGCAGTGGGTTGTTACATTTGTAATCCACTGTGTCTAGGGCATGGTATTGGAAGGTTGAGCCCATCCCTCTTCTTCCACCACACTTGTACTTTCCCAACTGAAGTCCCAACCGAACCGAACCCATTTTACACCTGGGTGAACTGAGGAAAGTCATGTTAAGTACCTTTCCCAAGGGCACAACGTCCTGCTGAAAATGCCAGGAATTGAGCCTGTGACCTCTTGATCTCATGTCTACTAAGCCTAGCCACTCAGTGATTTGACGCCATCATTATTAAAACCAGCAAAAAAGGATTGTCACAACTAATACTATTATGCACTGTAACAGTTCCAAAATAGGACAAAGGTAAGATTCTACAAGACTAGAGATTTTCAGATTGTGAACAATAGTTCAGAGACGTGAATAATTTCATCAGGTTGGTGAATGATTGAAAAGCAAAGTACTTTCTTCACAACCACTGTCTTGTTTAAGAAGAGGCGACATTTCGATGACCGTCTGTCATCTTCAAATGTTTGGGAACACATTGTCAGCACTAACACGTTCCATACAGTGAACCAGTTACTGTAACACCTACATGTACATGTACAATGTAGCTTGAGTGCACAGTGAACCTGTCATAATTGCCCTGATGAAGGTGACAGAGGGTCATTCAAATGTCGGCTCTTGTTAAACAAGTGGTTGTGAATAAAGAACTTAGATTAAGTTTGCTATTTGATGATTTCAAGAGTCTGTGGCTTCAAGACAAGATTTTTACTGAATAAAGCTATTTCTTTTATTTCATCATATTCTATATGTTGCCTGTTGCAGGTCCGTTTGGAGAGCAGGATGATGAACAGGTGTTTGTACAGAAAGTGGTGCCAGAAACAGACAAGCTGTTTGTTCGACAGTCTTCCACGGGGAAAAGGTACAGTTGTGTACAGCATGAATTTAGTACTTTCTAGAATGCCCAAACAGCATAATGCGGAATACAATTCATTTTCAAACCTATTTTCCCCCTTACTGTATTAGTGTTAATCCATATTACTGTTCTGTGTTCATTTTGTAAAGTTTTTATAAAATCTCATATTTTTCCCCAGGGTGTGTGTGATAAAGACGGTGGACGGCTCGCCTCTGAGCTGTTTCTGTGTGCACGAATGTGAGGGGTCCAGCAGGATGGGGTCACGACCTCGCAGGTACCTCTTCACAGGACATGCAAACGGCAGTATACAGGTAACACATGTGTTAAATGAATGAATTATTGAATGAACAAATGGCTACTGTAATTCACTTTATGTTCACCATAGCAAAAGTTCACGGTCTGAGAATATGGACATGTTCACGGAACTATATTACATGTATTCATGGTGGCGACGGGTGCAGGAAAAAGAAAGTCCAGGAATTATTTGCTAACTGTAATGATAAGTTCACGGTACAGAAGTGACAGGGAAAACAGTGAACATAACAGTACAGTGAAAAAATCAGGAATTACAGTTACTGTATTACCTTGTAAGTTCATTTGTGTTGGTCGACATCATCATCGAGGAAGTTTAAACTACAATTTCCAACACAAGAAATTGGACGTACCCAAATTTTTGTCTTTGTCAAGGAATGATCAGTCTCCGACGTTACGTTATGTAGATGACACCCGTGACTCATGGAGGAGTGGATCGCAAGTAAGAATCTTGGACTCCGAACCAGACTTTTTTTTACCACGAGGTATCAAAGAGACAATCTACATCCAGGCATTACAACCTTCCCTGCAACTTACGATCCACTGCTCACGAGTCACATAACGTCACAGATTCTGAAGCAGAATTTGAAGATCCATATTTAAGCAATTGCTGCATGCATATTATAATCTGTGAGGGATGAATTTTCATGTCAGGCTTCATGGCACGACATGTTTCCTGTCATACTGTACTAGTACATTTGGTGTACTTGTCAGTGAGTTTAACATTCAATCCAGTCTTGTTAGCTTACACGTAAGTCTACTTCCAAAGGTCCCTTAAACAGCAGTAAAGATTACATTATCTCTAGTATAGTATGCTTTATTTGCATTCAGTACAGAGTATAAGGAATATCAGGATGTGTCAGAAACACAGTTGATGAATGGAAGGATCTCATACAGACACTGTAGTAAGTCCTTGATGGATGTTTGTGTCCGTGCTGAAGTTTTTCTTGATGTTTCTTCTCTGACAGATGTGGGACCTCACCACGGCACTGAGTAAGGTAGATAAGGACAGTAAAGACACAGGTAAGCACCCTTCCTGCGTAAATGCCAATCTGCAGTGTGTTGGAGTCAGATTCTTTCCTAGTTTCTACCTGAAGCTCATGTCACACATTCAGAATCTTTCCCCAAACACCAACCAATCAAGGTTGGCTGAAGTATGGGAGCAGTCTGACCCGATTGAGGCCAACGCCTACACATGTATGTTTCGACATGAATCAAATCAACTTTGAGTTAAATTTGAGTCAACACCCCAAATTAGTTACGTCTTCCAAACATCCAACTGCCAACCACCAGCCAACAATGGCTGAACCTCCAAACAAATAAGGTCAATGACCTGAACCAGAAGTCTGTCACCATGGTAGCTAGTGTTAGTTTGATTTAAACTCCTTTCACCATATATATGAATGTGTTTGACAATGAGTAAGAATTAACAGAGCAGACCATCTGCGAAGGTAAACATTACGCATTTGCTTTGCGAATGTTACCTTTCTAGTATTATACGTACGTAATGTCTGCTAACTGACTGTCTTGTTCCCGTTTGTGAAGATGGAAACAAGAGTTTTGTGGGCGGGCCGACCGAAGTGGAGCTGTTGAAGCTGTTGGAACAGTGTGACATCAGTGCCTCGCGATGCTCCACCCCCTCACTCAGCCCCTCCACGTCCCTGGTCGCCTCCCGACTCAGAATGGCACAGCCCGAGGAGGGTGGGGACGAACCCCAGGGGGCCGTGGGCGGGGCAGCAGGTGGGGCAGCAGGCGGGGCCGACAGCTCACAGGATCCCAACTCCAAAGTTTTCAGAGTCTCTCTGTGTTAGCATTGTCCTGTGGCTGAATAAGTGCTGCTAAGATTTATCTTCAAGTTGAAAGTTTTTCTGTGTTGGTAGAAGTCAGTTTAGCAGCGCCATCATGTTTCATCTTGTTTCATGGTGGTGCGGCTAAGTGTTTAACATACATGAATGCACATTTACATGTAGTCAAACCTGCCCAAGCAAGACTACTCAGTGGACCAACAAAATCTGGTCTAATATTTGATTGAAAACTCATCTGTGTTGGTAGAATCCATAGTTGTGAAGTTTAAGGTTAGTTCTAACACAGAAAAGGGAACTCACCATAAATTTCCGGTCGATCTCATCAACCTTTGTCAGAAATCTGGTCAAAATCTGGTCAATGTTGACAGGGGACACATTAGACAGGATCCTTTTATGATTTACTGTTTCCTACAATTTTAAATATAGTTACAAATGCTTGTGTCAATGGGAAAAAGTGGTCACAGTAAGGTCCTTGTGTACATGTAGAGGTGGTCACTTAATACAGGTTTGACTTCATCTGACAGCATGGTTAAATTCAAATTGCCAAAGGCATGAAGGTACATGTATAATATTGACTTGTGTATGTGAACCAAAAATGCTTCTGTAGCTACATGTAAAAACATTTGGAGTGAGGAGTGTTGCACTGGCAGATCTTCTCAGTCTCTGTACTAGAATACCAGGAATTTTACTCATTAAAAATGAGACAGTTCTTAAAAAAACACATTCCTGGAAATTTCTTGAAAACCTTTGTTCTTGGAAATTCTTAGAAAGAGACATGCAGGATAAAAATGATTGATTAGTAATGTTGTTAAGTGCTTTTTATTCAGTTTTATTAGCCATACATTTGGAACAAAGAGTTGGTTGAGACTTCTCTCATTATCATGCTGCAATGGAAGTGAATTACTGTAGTTATGTTTGTGGGAAAAGCAGCGTGATTATATGATTATACAATAACTGGTATCTTTGAAATTCACATTTCACAATGGTAAAGAAATTATAGATAATAGTTCTAGATTTTTTATGATTCACAGATTGTGAAGAAATAAAGGAAGCAGCCCTAAAATAGTGCTGGTACAAAATGTACATTTTCTAATAATAACGTTACTAGTCAAGCATAGGCTTCAAAATGTTGCATTTGGGATAGTTAGAGGAATGAATAAAAACAAGGGGGTAAGACAGTAAATAAAGCTAAGTTACCATAGAACTAGTCTTCTCTTAGATTATGATCTTTATTATGTGTAAAGCACAGTCAGCTTTATTATGTGTAAAGCACAGTCTTCGAATTCCTGTGTGGGTAGAACATTTTGAGGGGAGAGACTGGTAACTTGACATGCGCAAAATTGCCACTTTGCACACGTCCAATTCGTTGGACTCTCTATAGTTGTTGTTTTTTCCAGCTTTTGCTCACAAAAAGGCACAGTTTTCTGGTAAGAAGGATGTGTATTGTGTATTTTTAAAATGTGCTGAAAATGTGTGACCTTTAAATTGGCATGGTTTGCTCTGTTATTGACCCCTAAATGACTCCTTCTTGGTGCTGAGGGTGAAATCCTAGTGTCATTTCAATTGCTCTTTCGGTTCCACTTTTTCTATCCAAGGAAACCTGACAAGCTTTGCAGCAGTTGTAAAGACTTGAAGTCTGACATAAACGTAAGGGAAATGTGTTTTTAAATGTTTTTCATGGTTTGACCATAGATACCATTGGAAATATCATTTACTGATCCTTTATGGTTCATGTAGAAAGGTTATGTCTGTCATTACAGTTGGTCACTCTCTCATTCATTGAACCACTATTTCTCTTTTCCCATTGGTCAAAATGCTAACTGAGTCAGTGTGATGGGCAGTAAGCTTTTGTCCCAGCAAACCCTGACTACTGAAGCAGAAGCCACATGGCATTGACTGCTACCTCCAAAAAGTGGTGTGGGCTTGGTCCCCCTAGCAGCTTGTTCAGGAACTGCATGGGGGGTTCTCATGAAACCTTTCAGAGCAGGTATTTTTATGATTTTTGGTATTTGGGTAGCTTAGACAGAGATCTACACTTATTGAAAGCAAATCATGCAACTGATGAAATTTTGTAATTCCAGTGGGACACGTGATACATGTAATGTTTATGATCTATGGCAGGTGGAATATCACCAGATACCAATTATGCAAATATGGACCTAATTTGCATAATTAATAAAAAAATTCTATGACTCCTTAGTGGTAAATGATGGGAATCTCATACTTGGGACATGTGTAAGTTAATCAAAAGTTAACACCACGGTGCATTTATTATGTTAATGTAGAGGTCATTTGCATAATTAAAGAAGAAATTTACATGTCAAGCCCATATTTCATGGAGGTACAGTACAGCGTGCGTTAGAATTAACGGGTGACGCGATCACGAGGTAACGCTAACGCGGCGATCACGTAACGCTAACGCAGCGATTACGAAGCGATGACGCGATGACGCAAATAGAGAAGGAAAAAATAAGTGCTTCGATAGTTCAAAACACGTTTAAAAGTCCTGCAATTCTCGTGTAGATATGCGCGTAAACGCACCGTACAATATGCTTGTAACGGAGTTTGGATGTTTCGGGCGGAACCCGCGTTTGACGTATCAATTTTTCGGCGGTTCACTTTCAAGATACCCCATTTTGTCAAGCTTGAACGCATCTAATTCCAGGTCATTGAACCCGCCAGTTACGCAGCGCCCGCGCACTTGGTACACCTCACGGGGCACAAAAATACCATGGCCAAAGTGGACTGTAATTTGTTTACTACAAAGTCGCGTAGTATGCGCCAGTGTTTCTCGCACCTTTGAGACTTTGGGGCTAAAATTATATTTTTCTTACATAAAAGAGCGTCAAGACTGGCCGGTTATATTTTGCTCAGACTGCACGCTGTCAATTTGTACTACGTGGTCCCTTAATTTTTTTTTAATATCGGAAATCTGGTGGCTTAATAAGGTACAGAACGATAGCAAAGTAATACAACCTTCTTGAACAATTTTTGTGTCCGACCTTGCGACGTGGACGGCTTTTGATGTCACCCGACCCGCGCTATCTCAGATCTAACGTGGCAGGGAGAAGTGTCGATCTGGTGAGAGAACAGAGCGTTGAATATTTTATTGTGCCATCTGATTACTCAGAAAGTGACATACAAATATAGGTGATAGCAAAAAGACCGATTGTTGTATTAACAAAGTCAAAGAGCTTGGTTGGAGAGTTGATTTTAAAGATGTGGGTAGGTTATGTATAGCTGCTATCATATTAGCCTAAGAAACATTTAAACAGAAGGGTAATTACGCCGATTTCATAGATTTCTTAAATAAGTACTGTAGTTGATAATAATGTAGAGATCCCCCCTTCTATGTATAAATAGCAAAAGTTGCCAAACCCCAAAAAGTCAGCTGCGATAGCCTGGAGATGACGTCACAAATGATTGATGGGTTATGGCCAACAAGTGGTTGATTAATGGGTTATCGTTAAAAAGTGATTGATGACGACACGGGTATCAGCTGTGATCGATGTGGGCCGATTATCGCGATCCCTGACGTCATCAATCATCCCGGCTGTCATTCTTTCCATCCCTCCATCCATCAATCCTGCTGACTTTGTTGTGCTTTGTTTTTTTGTTGTTTTTTTTTGCCGTGACGAAGTTTAACTGGCTATTTTTGAAAACGGTTTTAGCAGTAAATGCAGGGACAGGTGTCCGAACAGCTTTTTCTAGAATATACCTGAAAGTTTCAGATCGTGACTTTACCAGTTCAAGGAAAAGAATTAAATTGTTCGCCCTATGGACATAAACTGTTTTTTTGCGAGCCGTAAGAACAAGGACAGGTGTTCTAACTTCTTTTCCCTATTTTTAACTTTCCCTATTTTTAACTCTCTTCAATCCCCTTTCCATCTATTTATGACAGATAAATGGATCTTTATGCTTACTGCAAAATAAAGAATATAGTATCCAAACAGTCTGGTGTCACTTTAACCGGTGGGTCAGGTCAGAGGTTGAAGGTGACGCCCCTAGAAATGGTCAGGGCAGTGACCGCCATTGTTTGGAGTGACAAATGACATTGCTCCGGACAACCTTGGTTTAACTGGACAATGGGACTCGT